TTTTTCTTTTTTTTTTTTTTTTTTTTTTTTCTCTTTCTCGCTACCTTTCAGTCAATAGATTCGTAGTCTCTGTCTCTTCCATTCTCTATCTTCCGTTCCCTCAATTGCTCAATCTGCCTTTCATACCGTAAATGATATACATTCATTCTTGAGCTTAGCACCCTTCAATTTCAGCCTTCCTGTGTTACAAAGGAAACACGCTTCGAAAGTCCCGCGTATCATGACGCACTGCCTTCAGTTCGCGTATCACGTTTTAATACGCAAAAATATTTCATCTTGAGCAAAACATTTGGGTGTGTCTAATGCTAAGAATATGTATGTGTGTGTGTGTTATGTATGTATGTGTGTGTCTGTGCGTGCGCGTGCGCACATATATATGTATGTATGTATGTATAATATACAGTTAAATTAAACCGGAAGTTGTGATGTGGAAAAAGTCGTTCGTTGTAAAAAACTTTGAAAAGAATTATTCCAAAATTACGTTATTTGAAAAGTATCGTTTGCTTGAGTTGTTGACAAAAAAAAAGAAAAGGTCTTGTAAAAAAAGTTTTTAGGAAAAATGCATTTTTTTTTTTTTTTTTTTTTTTTCATTTTCTTTCTTATTTCGGTTTAACGCGTTTACGTCGATCTCGGTTAATTTGTTTTACGAAGAAAAACAGAACCACAGAACCATAGTTGAACTATTTATGTGGTCGTTTCTATCCAATAACCATAAATTGTTCGGCTCTTTCTAGCTACCCTGTATACACGTGCAGAGTTCTCGACTCTGCTTAATCGCAAAAACGAGAAACAAAGATATGCATTTCTCTTGTAACACGGTGTGTATGGTATATGCTCCAAAAAAAAAAAAAAAAAAAGGAAAGAAAAGAAAAAAAAAAAAAGAAAGCCAGTCTCTGCATGCACCGGTAAAATTGATGATAATAAATCGAAACGATAAAAAAGGATAGAAATTAAAAAAAAAAAAAAAAAGAAAGATACAGAAACATATAATAAAAATATATTCCAATGCGGAGGCCATCTTTGTTTTCCTCATCAAGTCAATCGTATGCAAAAAATACCCGTGAGGAATCGTCGTCGATCGATCGATCGATAATTTAATTAATTATTAAATAATCGGTTTAAATCGTTGAAATGATCTTCGAATTACAAACTATTCGATAAACAAGTTAAATCGGTTAATCGAATCGGATTAGCCCGATAACGAATACATAATTATATGTGTTTATATATTAATATACAAATTTTTATTAATATTCGTTAAAATATTATTCAATAAACGTCATTATATATATATATATATATATATTTATATAATAAATTTATATATACTTCATTATCTTATCATTACTATCAATAAATATACAGCAGAGGTGATCACGTAATCAGACATGATCATCACATTCGATTAACCGAACGCCATTGCGCGTGTTTATTCATCCATTTTATTTTATTCAATTGATCGATCGATCGATCGATCGATCGATCGTCGGAGCAAAATGCTTCGATACCCTCCCCCTCCGTATTTTACATATTTATCGATTATCCTATCACTTATCGATTCGTGAACATGTGTTTAAAAAAAAAAAAAAAAAAAGAAAAAAAGAGAGAGAAAAAAAAATATCCTCTTGAGTTGTTCGACTATGACCTCTCTTTTGCATAGAATAATTTTATCTTATACGTTCAAGCTGATACTCGAAATTAGGGTAAGACTCGATCAAGTTAACGCGATTAAAGGAACGTCGTCTCGATTTTTTTTTTTTTTTTTCGTTTTTTTTTTGTTTTTTGTTTTTTGTTTTTTAAACCAGTCTTTCATTAGGCTCTCTGCTTCAACTATTAGAATTTTCTCATTACCGACGATGAATATCTTAATCTCTTTCTCTCATTTTTCTTTCTCTCATTTTCGCTCTCGCTCTCTACCATATTCTCGCTCCCTTTCTCGCGCATAGTAATGCGGCACTTAAAAAGTTTTATTGCGATAAAAGTATGTTACAGTCAGAGTGAGTGTCCAGAGTGTGTTTC